GGTTTGGATTAAAAATAATTTCTTCTTCATGTCATGGTTACAACAAAACCCACTTGTTTAAGGTTAGAGAATGACTGTGGTAATGGTTAAAAGAAACCAATGTTGATTGCCATAAGACAACAAGTAGAAAACAGTGTTCTCTTGTGGCAAAGGCTGACATTTTATTGACCCATCCAGCCTCCAACCAACCCTTCTAAGTGGACTTTGCGGCTCTAAAATAATGTCACACTACTTTCTTGTTTGCTGAGAAAAGTCATTTTTGAGCACTTGCTGAGTTAATATGCATATGGACACTAAAACCTTGAAAAACCTTGATTAGGATTTCTTGGTATGTTTAGATACAATTCCCCTGGCACTTTAAAAAGGTATACTACTCTTTCTAAGGGATATTTTGGAAAGTTTGCTTATTAGCTTTCTTTGAGAAAAATGAGATGAGAAGGTGACATCTCATGTAAGCACAATTATTATCAAGTTGGAGTGAAGATGTGTTTAGCCTAGTTTAGCTTGCTTTAAAGACATGAGACGCAGGCCCTTTTCAGAGATATGTAACATTGCTGGCTTCGTCAGTCTGTTAAAGTGACAGCTTTCTGTCATTCAGACATAGGTCTCTTTTATGCTAATGTTCTTAATAGCTTCATTCAGACTTAACCAAGACTGTGTTGGAGAGAGTGTTGAAAGTGATATGAAAATGCTACTAGGCCTCACCTAGTAAGGCTGCCACTGCAGCTTGTACAGAAAAGTGACCAGTGTGTTCATTCAGACATGAAGCCTACACAGCACATCCACATGCAGTCAGATTAGGAAAGGAAGGGGGCTGCAGAAACAAGAGGCCCACCTATACTTATCTACTGTAACTTTTGTGTTAACTTTTAGTGTGTACACAAAAAAAGTTATCACTGGCCAAACTTCACATATGTGAACGCACCATAATTCTCAGAAAGAAAACAAATAAGTCTCAAAATGCTAAGCTAGCTCTTTAAAAATGTACAAGAAAGCACAGTGCAAGCTGTCTCAAAACGCTTACACAAGCAGAAGACATATACAGTCTGTGAGAGTATATGTTTCCATAACATGAATGAAGAACAGTGAGTTCCATCTCAGACTGACCTGCCTGCTTGCCTGCTGTCTCTGTTACATCTCTAATAGAAGGAAATGGCTTGTGGTGAGGAGAGGATCCCGCCCTTCTGTGGGAGTTTAATTCAATCACAGCTCCAGTCAAAAATGAATTAAAACTCTCATTAAGCCCCCCTCCTGTGTTCCAGAGACTAAGATGGCTGCTAAGGCTCACAAGAAGAGATTTGGGTGTTACATAGAAGCATCAGTCAGCTCTGCAGTTATCTGTCTGTGAGTCAGCATCAGTCTCTAACTCCATCATTTTGTTATTTTAAATTGCAGTGCTAGCGCTCACCCACACAGTAAGCCCAGTGAACCTTGTTGTAGATGATCTACAATAGGGTATGTGTACGTCGTATCATTTAATCTGATTGAGTCACAGTTTGACACTGCTCCCCGCCTGAGCTTCATATGACAGTGCAGTGAGGAGAATACACTCTGATCCACATCATAGTACCACTGACCTTTCCATAGTATACTGTACCACTTTGGCCATTTATTATATAGCAGAGCAGTGGAAAGTGTTGTTCTGTGTCAGGGAGAGAAAGAGGAACCTGTGTGTTGTAACCCCACAGGAAAACATCTCTGTGCCTCTGAACACTAAAGGGTTTCTGCTTCAGGGCCAATTCCACTAGCTTATGCTATCACTGCAGCCACACTGATACAATGTCAGGACACGCTGGTTCTGACGCTAGCACATAAACATTTAGGATTTTTCTCCTCTTGGGCTCATATTCCTTCAAGTTATTTTGTATTAATTAAGACGGGGAAAGATGTGAACACATTTTTTTTTTTATTCAGAAAATTAATAATGTGCAATGTGCAAAACTTGTGACATTTTGACTTTTGAAAATAATAGATGAACACACAGAGCTGCAAAAGTATTGCTGAAAAAAGTCTTTACATTCAGTAAAGCTAAACCAAACATATAGTCTTCTCTACTAGCGACCTAAAGGCCTTTGTACTACATGAGAAAAATGTTTATTTCCTTGTCATGCCCAACATGAGCCTTTAAACATAAAGCACGAGCTCCCCCTGCTGGTTTAAAAATGGAGCGTGTGCTGCTTTTCAGCTACTATTATGAAACAACTAGGAAAATTAAGAGTATGTGAGGAATTGGCTGTGGTAGCCAAGATTAATGTAGGCAGTGGTGGATAGTAACTAAGTACATGTATTCATGTACTATAGTGTTGTACAGTTGTGAAATATTTTCTCATTAACAATAACACTGTAATATCATATGAACAGTGATATATCACTCTGAAATGGGCAGTTCTAGTTTTGAAGTAAGAAAGGTTTTGGATGTAGTTCTGGGGTACTTCTACTGTACTGTAAGTATCTCATTGTATGCTACTTTACAGTTCTAACTTACTACAATTTAGAAACACATAGGAAAGGCAAAGGAGCTTTATTTGTACATCACATATCATACACAAATGAAACTCAGAGTGCTTTACATAGGCAAGAGAGACATTATGAAACAGGATTAAAACAATAAATATTAACAGCATAAAAATCTGTTAAAACAAAATAAGGATAAAACATTGTTGCAACTGAATAAAATACATAAAATGACGATAACTTATCGATCTTTAACGGCTATTTTCAAATCCCCTAGCGGTCCTGGCCCTGCCGTAGTAACTCATCAGTCATATTGTTATAGTGTTAACGGTTTTGCGTTGATCGGCTTCCTGGCTTTCTGTTTGTTTACCTGTTCTCTCCCCGCTACTCTGTCACCGCAATTAGTTGCCATGTCAGTCACCTGTGGCCTGTTATCTCCCAGTCGTGTCTCGTCCGTTTCTACCAGTCCGTTTTTGCAAACTGCGTCATTTTATGTTCAGCAGTGACGTGCGGGCAGGTGAGGCAGAGCCTCCCCTGTCAATCTTGAAAAGAAAAAAAGTTAACCATAAAATATAATAAATGTTAATATTTGTCGGCTGGTGTGTGTTGTAGGCCCTTTTGCCGTTCGAATCCGATGTTGAAGGATTTTTTTTTCTTCTTATTTCTTTATTTCAATTGCACATTAACTGGTACATCGCTACGCACATGCTATCACGACCGCATCCATTTTTATTTTCACAAACACAGTACACTGCATCTGACGTCACGTCCTCTTCTGTGCATGTGGGTCACCTCAGGGCTGTAGACCGTTCACACATGAGACAGATGGCAGTCGCATTTAAATGACAGTGTGAACAACAACGCAAAAAATCGGATTTCGACAAAAAAACCCATTTGAGCATTAAGACCTGAAGTGTGCACGTAGTCTAGCACTACGTTCACACTGCAGTATACGGCCCTGGGGTGACCCGCATGCGCAGAAGAGGAAGTGACGTCAGACGCAGCGTACTGTGTTTACGAAAATAAAAATGGATCTGGCTCCTGAT